GACGGTGGGGCGTGGCGTCGTGCGCGGGGCGGACCGGCAGGCGGCGGCTTCCCTCCCTCCCTCCCTCCCAGATCTGGCCGGAGGGGACGGGGGGAGGCCGGTGGCCAGTGGCGCGGGGCGGACGGCGGTGGGGTGCATCCGTGCGACGGCGACGTCCGTGCGAAAATTTGTGATGCGTTTGATTTGGTTGTGAATGATTTGGTTTGATCTGTGATGCTTTTGTGTATTTGATTTAGTTTGATGGTGAATCTGGATTGGGGAATGGGAGGAGAATGGGCAGCTGCTGCTACCGGCCGAAACGGCGGTGGGCGGTGGCTGCCTATTTTTTTTAATGCTGGGAGCTATTTTCGCGGGCGGACCAGTTGTCCGTCTGTGAAAATCAACCATTTTCACAGTTGTTCGTTTGCAAGTGGACGAGTTCTCCGCCTATGAAAACCTGTTTAGTCCGTCTGAAAAAAATACGTTTTCTAGTAGTGACCTGTATATATAAATTTTAGAGCTCCAGGAGAAAAGATTGATCAATCGTCAAAACTAAACTACATATTGGCAATGCTGGAGCAATCAACAACTGACAAATGCAGCCGATGATGAGCTCTAAAACTAAAAGCTTGTTCGTCCTGGCAACGCTGTAAAGTTGATGCAGCTGGGGACGATCGATGTATGCATGTGCCCCTCACCTTTTTCCAACGAACTACAGCTGCTTCAAGAACTCGAGAGTGCTGTAAGAGAGGGAAAAAAAAACAATTAATGGCCGTGGCCCATATCAGGGTACGTACCGGCCTGTTTGTGCTCCTCAATCAATGAAAACGTATTGCTAATTGTTTAATTTTATGCAAGAGAGATGTGACAGATACGTCCAATGTGTTGGGATCTCATTTTGCGTCGTTCGCACTCGAGCAAACACGCACTTTTTCACAGTAGGTCATAAAAAAAATACAGCGGAAGTGAAAATCCAAGTTTAAAGAAAGCGATATATATTTTTTTAATTTCCAGAAGTACGTACGTATACAGTATTTTTTTTGCCGTATATCGTTTCTTCTTTTCTCGGTCATGGTTGTTAATTTGTACGTACGTATGCCTTCTCAGCCTTTTCTGGTCAATTTTTTATGAAAAGTATTACTCGGTAAATTAGGAGAGATAGATTACTATTTATAATAGATCTAATCCAATGGTATAAACTAATGAGTCCACCAACTTAAATGAAAATTGAGGGCTAGATTTTTTTCTTTTTTTTTCAGAATTTTTAAGTTTTTTTTTCTATTTTATTATAGCGCCATGTGACAGCTTGAGAGTGTTTTTAGAGCACCATATGGCAGCATGAGAGAGTTTGTAGGAAGTTTAATGGACTTTTAGTATTTAATAGATAGATATAGTGTCATGGTTATGGATACCACATATCTAATAGTAGTTGACTAAACTCGGCCAGGTCCACCACATACCAAGTCTTGTATGTAATCATATCTCGTATATAGAAGGAGTTTCGGATAAGGAAGAACAAATAAAGTTCTATATGAAAACGACAATGACTACTCGGATTGTATCCATATTGGTTTCCCTAGTTTTACTTGAACAAGATGGCATCTATGGATATAAATACAAGCCCCTAGGAGGAGAGGGGGAGGCCACAAGATCAACATAGATCAATACAAGCCAAGACATGCCACCAGATATTAACATCAGAGATTAGCCTAGACATACTCCATCCGATTTTTTATCTCGCCGAGTGCGGATTCGAGGAGGAAGACTACCCTGTCGTCGACTATGAGTTGGTCATCCATACCGCCAAGTCGACGACAGCTAGATAGGTTGTCCCAATTATTGTATTATGTGGTTTTCTATATCAATCCCATATAAATAGGATGTAGGGCTATTACCTATCAGATAAGTGGCCCGAACCTGTATAAAAATCCCTGTATCCATCTCTTTTACCTCAATCTCGCATATACCCTGGTACCAACGATCGCCATACCATCCAAATACCGTAGTCGCGATCTCAAACTTCAACATATAGCATCGTCTTTTTTTACTTAATACTAGTCTTTTTTTTCTTATATGATTGCTACCTCTTCTTTATATATAAATATACTCCTATCTCTTATATCCCCTCTTTCAAATGGGTAATCAGTTGATTTTTTTATACTAGTTCTTTTATATAGTGTATTAGAAAAAGAATATAGCTTAACTATTCAAATTTACAGCATAAGTTTTGAGTGTTACAATATAATTGTAGTGTAAATGTATATCATTTTCAATGAAATATTGAATTTTTTTAGAAAATATAGTGCCATAAATATAGCTAAGTACTTTAGTTCTACTACTGCCAACGTAATTAACAGTAGAAATAATATAATCCATTCATTTACAAACTGAAAAAAAGGTGTTTATCAAGGGCAATGTTTATTTTTAACTCTTGAACAATTTTTTAAATCCATTTTTATCATAATCCTTTCTAACTCTAATTTTTGTCCTGAACCCAAAAAAAACCACTTTCTTTTCATCCTCGGCTTTCAAAACCGGATGAACACCACTCTTAAAACTACCAGATTCTACGGTGGTTTTAATTTATTCCAATGATGGTAGATAATGGCTGGTCGTATTGATCAATTTGGTTTAGTTACTCTATCAAGTTGATTATTAGTTGCATATCCATTTGTTATATAGATTATTATAATCGAAATCAATCAATCCGGCCAACATCTACAACCAACATGTATACACCATTCTTTCGTTGTACCCATTTCTAACTATTCTAATCCCTTTTTACCCAAAAATAAAAGGATATACCTCCCTCACTCCTACTTCCTCCATCCCTAAATATTTAACGCTGTTGACTTTTTTAAACATGTTTAACCGTTCATCTTATCCAACAAATTTAAGTAATTATTAATTCTTTTCCTATCATTTGATTCATTGTTAAATGTACTATTACTACTCAAGTTTTTTAATAATATTCATAAAAGTTTTTGAATAATACGAATGGTCAAACATGTTTAAAAAAGTCAACAGCATCAAATATTTAGAGACAGATGGAGTATTTTCTAAAAAAGATCCCTAGCAATAATAATCATATTACATGTTGCATATTCATATACTCCCTCTGTTGACAAATATATAAGCGTATTTTGTGTCGTTATGATAAGCCAACCATTGCTTTACTAATTATCACTAATGTGATAGTACAAAAGTATTACATAAGTGAAGTACTTTTGGATATGAATCTAACACCAAATCTTGTGTCAGAAAAATTATGTCCCACTCTACTAATTGTTGGTCAAAACCTTATTCTAAACAAACAACAAAATATGTCCTACATTTTTCAATAGAGAATATAAGAGGGAGAGTTTATATGTATATATACACTACTGAAATTGCATAGGAGATAAATATCTGAAAATCGCCAATACAGAAGTATGATTTTTGGGAGCAAGCTGAACGTGGATGGTACATGCTACCGGTGCTCTTGAGAAGGTAGCACTACCAGTCATGGAGAGGATATCGTTGATATCGTTGCCGTTGCGAATGGACTGGAGACCGCATCCTCTACCACTTTTTACCGGAGAAAGGATCAAAAAGGGTTGTGCCCTTTTGGGAGACCAGCAAAGCAGGAAAGGAAACTACGGCTGCACCAGGAGGCAGAAAGGAGGTCCTTCCATGGCAGTGGCAGTGGTAGATACAGCCGGTTTTGACATGTGAGCCTGTGACAGAGAGGAGCAAAAGAGACCCGCAAGTTCCTACTGCGAGCAAGTCCCTACTGCTAACAAAGGGACGTGAAGGGCTGTTCAGACCATAGACAAAATAAACCTTACTAAATTTTGGAATTGCTAAAATTTGGCAATTTAATAATATTGCCAAAATTTTAACAGGGTTTCTTATATATTTATCAAAGTTTGGCAATAATATAAATGAATGCACATATTTAGCAACTCTATGAAAAAAAAGTATGGTTTGAAATGACATCAATTTGAAGTATTATAGAAAAAAAGTATTCTCTCCGTCCTATTTTAATTATAGTTTTGGGTTTATGAATTCAATAGTTGATTTTTCATTTATTTGAAAACTTTAAAAAATAAGTCATGCATAAAACACTATTCATGTTTTATTATCTACTCCCTCCGTCCCATAATATAAGGGATTTTGAGTTTTTACTTGCGTTGTTTGACCACTTGTCTTATTCAAAAAATTTTGAAATTATTATTATTTTTTTTGACTTACTTTATTATCCCAAGTACTTTAAGCACAACTTTTCGTTTTTTATATTTACACAATTTTTTTAAGTACTAACATAATTTTTTTTAAATAAGACGAAAAGTCAAACATTGAATACAGAAATCTAAAACTGCACTTAAAATAGGACGAGGGAGTAGTATTACTTCGGTTACTTGCCGATAACTTAATCTTTTGAAAACCTTATTTTTATAAATAAATAGTGACCTACTTTTGGTGCCCATGGCACGGACCTTATAACGAAATAAATTAAAATGGTAATAGAGTTATCTAGTATGGAATAGAGTGTGGTGGTAACTGGTAAACATACGCAAACCTAAGCTAGAGAACCGGGTTTGAACCCCACTGAAGGCTGTGTGGGGCGATGCGTTCGGACGAAAAAAAAAGGGTGGAGAGAGTGGGAATCAAACACAATATCTTTGGATTGGAAGAGGAGTCCATTTTCTACTACAGTAGGCTATGAGAAGAAGTAGCTTTGAAACTTTTTAACAAGTATAAAACTCAACGTCATGAATCTCGGCGCTAAGGGTGAGAGTTCATTGCCAAGGCTCATGGCACCGAGGTTTTGGTCTATTTTTACAACAAGTTTTTAGCGCTGTCTATTCTTTAAATAATTTTTCTAAAAGGATTAAACTGTCAAAATTTCGGTAGTCATTCATGTTGTGCACTTGTGCTCCATAGCACCCTGTGCTAACTCATAGTCATATTTATAGATATCAGAATCTGAAGTCTAGCGAATGGATCCAAACTCCTCCACTACACAAATAATATCATCTGATAGAGAGGCATAGATTTGCAATACAAGCTAGTAATAAATTGGATTAACAATATAAATAATTTCTCATGACAAAGTTAGTTCTTAAATTCACCTATGATGTACACACATCCTACCTACGCCTGTCTCACGATCCGATGACTGTACGCTACTACACTAATCTCATTGCCCTTCTCCAACATAACAATGTCGTCATCTTCATCACCTATCTCCAATATAGCAGCATAACCATCTATACTTATTTAACTTTCTCCATTCTTTTCTCGCATACCCTCTCCAAGTCCCCCCCACCTTGTATAAATCGCATTCGCTAGAGTTCATTGCGAGCTCAGAACATATAAAAGGGAATATTACTAGAGCATAAATTAGTACAAGTCGTATTTTATGCAAAATTTTGACGAGATACTACGAATTTGTACGATTTTACCCGAAAAATCAAATCACTATACTTCCCTTGATTCAAATATTTCTCGGTCACACTTATAGCAAACATACCATAACTTGCCCAAACTTAGCTATGATAATAAGGTTTGATATCCCCTGTACCCATTTTACACCCCAGTGGTCTCCACCCCTCTACATTGGCAGTCCACGTCGGTGAGTGGATCGGGTCAAATACGATTTGGATATGTGATGTACCGTTAAACGAGTTTAGAGAAAAAAAATATGTTTTCTAAGTTTAAGAACCTAGATAATATAGTCGTACAAGTTTACAGGCGGTCTATGCACTCTGCTCTAAAACAAACAACCCCTGTACTCCAGAAGACAGCACGGAGCGAAAGACCACAGAGGATCCATCCGTTCCGTTGTGATACCCATGCTGTTATCCGGTTCACAAGCAAGCCCACATCTGCTCCTTCCATTTGTACCCACGTCTGCTGTCCATTGACCGGTTGACCGCCCTGACTGCCCCGTACCAGCGACAGCTTTTCCCTTCCATTTCTTTTCTCCTTTCTCTCTCTATACTCCACTCATGTGCTGTACTACACTGACACTCCCCTACAGCTGCAGCTGCCTCCCCTCTCCTCCCACTTCGCCCGCCGCCATGCGCCGTGCACTCCGGCCAATGATTCCACCTGAAAGCCGCCATTGCCGCCGCTCTCCTCCTCTCCTCTCCCTCTCCTGAGGTAGACAGTTTGCCAGTCAGATAGTAGTAGGTATTAACAAGAGTTGTCTCCTACTACTCCTACTGTACTTCTTGGCTTTCTGGTGGTGACCCGCGATCGATCGATGTCCATGTCCATGTCCACAGCTACTACCACTCCAGCAGTGCTCCGCCTGTCGACGGACATGGCGATGTCCGAGTGCGCGGCGACGATGCCGGCGACGACGGCGCACCACCACCACCACCACGCCGTTGCGTACTTCGGTCTTTCTTGCGCTCTCGCCGTGCTGCATCGTCGCTCGGGTGGTGGTGGTGGTGGGTGTGATCTTGGCGCCGGGCCGCGGCGGTGCCGGTGGTCGCGGCGGAGAGAGCTCGCGCTGCGGGAGAGGGTCGGGGAGCTGGAGAGGGAGGTGGAGGAGCTCCGGCGGAGGAGGGGGGAGGATGCTAGGGCCAACGAGAAGGTGGCCGGCATATTCGCGGCGCACGAGCAGCGGTGGTTCGCGGAGCGGAAGGGGCTGCGGCGGCAGGTGCACGCCGTCGTCGCCGCGGCGCGGGCGCGGGAGGCGGCGCACGGCGAGGCCGTGGCGGAGCTGACGAGGCAGCTCGAGGAGCAGGAGCAGCGCGCGGCGGAGGCCGCGGAGCAGGAAGCGGGGCGGCGGGAGGAGGCCGAGGGGAAGCTGCGTGCGGCGGAGGAGGCGGCGGAGCGCGCCGGGAAGGAGGCCCAGGAGCACGCCGCCGAGCTGCGGAAGCACAGGGCGGCGCTCGCGGAGCTCGCGACCGCGCGGCGGGAGCTGGAGGCGGAGCTTGCCCGCGCGGCGCGGCGCGGGGACGCGGCGGAGGCGGAGCTCGGGGAGGCCCTCGAGCGCCGCGACGAGGCCGCGTCGACGGCGGCGGAGCTCTCCGCGGAGTGCGCGCGCCTGCGGCGCGACGCGGAGCACAAGGACAAGATCCTCTCCGCGATGCTGCGCAAGTCCAAGATCGACATGGAGGACAGGGAGATGCTGGTGCGCGAGGTGAAGATGTGCAAGGCCAGGCGGAAGCAGGCGGAGCTGGAGGCCGACCGGTGGCGGAAGATGTGGGAGTCCCGCCATCGCCGCGGTTCCAGGTCGTCGGCGAGGTGCGCCGCCGCGGCGGACCACCCTGGCTGCTCCGACAAGCTGACATCCCCCGACGCCGCCGTGGCGCCGTGCGCGCACGACACCAAGATACTCTTCGTGGACCGCGTCGAGGACGCCGACGCCGCCAAGAAATGCCGGCACACGGCGGCGCCGCCGCCGCCGCCGACGAAGGATCCCACCACCGTCGAATGCGTCGACCGCTATCCCAGCCACGTCGACGACAAGCCTGGTACGTTTGCTCTTTCCAGCATTAAGTACACAAACATGTCAGAATTCAATTCCAAAAGTTCGATTTCGTTGCGTTCCAGTAATAAATGAACACCACGAACATGTTCGCGAATTTGATTTTTCGTCAAGAATTTGAGAAACACGACACGTTTTTCTTACGAGTTTGTATGATTTTTTTGCAGTGGTGGAGGAGTACCAGGATTTGCAGGAGTGGTTCAAGATGGAGACGGAGAAGTACACGAGCATGATCCGGCGCCGGCACAGCGCGGAGGTGGAGGCGTTCACGGAGCAGCTCCGGCTCAAGGACGAGAAGCTGGAGGCGTTCCGGTGGCGCGCGGCGAGCATGGACGCCGAGGCGTCGCGGCTCCGGTCCAGGCTCCAGGAGCTCGAGGCGCGGCTGTCGGAGCAGGAGCAGCGCCGCGCCGCGCTGGAGGCGCTGCTCGTCGCTAGGGACGACGAGAACCGGTCGCTCATGGAGCGGCTCGCCGCGTCGGACGACCAGGGGCGTGCCCTCGACGTCGTCGTCGTCGACGGCGGCGGCGGCGGTTGCGAGCATCGCGCTCCGCGCTCGCCGGAGGGCGCTGAGGCTGCGGATGCTCGTCTCGCGGTCGCGGAGATCAAATCGCTCGAGCCGGTTTCGCCGGGTGGGGACACGAACAAGGTGTTCGACATGGAAGAAACAGAGGCGCGCGACGTCGAGATCTCGGTTCAGAACGACGTGTCCGCCGCGGTGTCGCCGGACGAGCTTCAGCTGGTCGAACACGACGACCACCGGGCGATCGCGCCGGCGCGAAACTCGTACACATGCGAGATCGAGGAGGAAGAAGACGAGGAGAAGGAACTGCCCTCCTCCTCCTCCTCCTCCTCGCTCGCGCTCGTGGTCGCGGCGCCGCCGGAGCAGAGGACCACGGCTTCCAAGATGGACATCCAAGCGCTCGCCGTGTCGTACAAGATCAAGAGGCTGAAGCAGCAGCTGCTCGTCCTCGAGAATCTGGCCGCCGCAGCAGCCGGAGGCAAGGACACGGTGACCACCGCAACAAATCCGTCAACCAACACCGCCGCCGCCACAGCCGCCGGCGGCGGCGGCGGCGGCAGGCAGCAGTATCCGAGGAGCTACCAGATGATGGTGTCCTTCCTGAGCAAGCACGTCAAGAGGTACCAGTCCCTCGAGGACAAGATCGACGACCTCTGCACAAGAATGGTACTACGTGTTTGTAATTGTATCCAAGTTCTTGGACATCGTGTTCGCGACGGCGGCGAGCGCCATTGACGTTCTGATCTCGTGCTCGTGCAGGAGGAGAGCAAGCGTGGCGGCGGGCGGGAGCGGCATCATCGGCGGCGGCGGCAGCGGCGGGAGAGCGAGGAGGACGGGAGCGGCGACCGGGAGCAGAGCGCGGCGCTGGCGCGGTTCTTGGAGGAGACGTTCCAGCTGCAGCGGTACATGGTGGCGACGGGGCAGAAGCTGCTGGAGATGCAGTCCAGGATCGCGCCGAGCCTGGAACGCGCCGCCGGCAATGGCGGCGGCAACGACGGCGTGGACATGGGGAGGTTCATGGACGTGGTGGGCGCGCTGCTGCGGGACGTGCAGAGGGGGCTGGAGGTGCGGATCGCGAGGATCATCGGAGACCTCGAGGGCACGCTCACCTTCCATGGCATCCTCCACACCACCTTCTGAAAATTCTGAAATTCTTCTGACATGGGACGCCTACACTTAACTTCTTTCCTTGTTCGATCTGAAACTATAAGGGAGTTACACTGTGACTTTACACTTGAATTGCATAGGGGTATAATAAACTACGATCAATATTTCCTATCAACTCGAGCTAAGATAGAGCTTTTCTCTTAAGCTCGAATAGCTCGCGAGCCTAAGGAATGTAGCTCGACAGTTTTTACAGTTATCTCTATTGCTATTTTAGGACGGATAGAATGTAGCTTGATATGAATGTAGCTCGAATCCGTCCTATAAAGATAGCTGTATTTTAGGACGGATGAAAGTACTAGAAAAAAACAGACTCGAATTTCCTTTGACCATATATATTTTTAAGTATCAAATGAGGGTGTCCTGAGGCATTCACAACTCAAGAACTATGATAATTTCTTCTAATTATACCATTTATGTCCTCGAGGAACTTGCCGGCAACTTAAATGGTTGAAATTTTCTATAATTCGGGTAATTAGAATCCATCTCGCTTCTTTATGATGGAGAACACTAAGACTCCAAGAGGGCAGCCAGTTTCTGTTACAATGAACAAGATGGGCTAAAGGGTATTTTTGAGGGTCCAAAAGTTCTTACGCCAGAACAAGAATAATGAATTCAGCCATGTGCTTTTGGGCCACAGTTGAATGGCATTTTGATATAGAAAGGTCTCTGTCTCTTCAGAATGTGGACGGTTTGTAACTGTTCACGCTTCATGAGCATCACAGAATGATCAGAATCTAAACTCAGAAATAGATCGCTGAATCCAGCCAAAGGAAGTTGCTGATCCTGTAATTGCAGTGGTAATTACGGCCTTAATTAAATCGACCTGAAATTGAATGATTGGACGAATGGCTACTGGACACTGCCTAAGGGACTTGTTAGATATTAGATATTGTGGCAAATGCCACAGAAGAAGAAAAAATGATATACATATCTATTTCTAGGGGTGGAAACGAGCCGAGCCAAGGCTTGGCTTGCAGTGGCTCACAACAAACAAGGGTTGACATGACTCGGTTAGGTTAGGGAAATAAGCTAAAACTTGAGCCTAGCTCGGCTTGTTTCCTGGCTTGAGTCAGCTTGAGTGGGCTTGCAAGTCTTCCTGTTGAAACACATCTTCATATATATTTTAAAACATTAAAAAAAAAGGCAAGAACAAATCACTTCAACATGTAAAATTTAAATAAGTTTATACATTAATTCCTTTCCTTGAAATCTTAATGATAAACTTCAAGTTGACAAATAATAACTACATAAAAATAAAATAATCTATATAAACACATGATGGCTCGGCTCATTTTAGCAGTGAGCTGAAAAGGAGGATTGGGCTTGGCTAGTTTGGCTTACGAGCTAAGCCAACCAAGCTCGAGCCAAGCCCGAGCTTTTTTTTTTCCACTTCTGTCTATTTCGTGATTGAGGTTAATACACTAAATAATTTTTTTTCAAAAAAATTGACAGATGTAAATATAGTATAATCATAGTGTAATTACATTGTAACTTGCATGTAACTATCATGTAAATTGCATATAACTACTATGTAATTTTAAACCGTTCGATTTGCTTTAAAATTCGTGCAAGGAAGGTAGAAAAAAATCACAACCCACGCACATGTGAGGGGATTCGGTACCATTACCTCCGTTTTCATGGTATGATCGCTCTCTAACGGACATCACAAACACTGAACAAAATCATGTACAGTCTTGCAAAGATCAGGCCAAGCAAAAGGTTGCTTCACTCGTTGATAAGTGACCTGAATTCTGGAGTTTCCACCCAAAATAGAAGCATGTAAATTGGCTAGAATACGCCGTTGTAACGCTGTATTGTTTCCCACCCAAACTCGGCTTTTGAAATACAGAATTCCATCTTGCAATTCATAATGCGTGACAGGAGAATGACCAGGCTCAAAGGAAGCCAAAAATCTTTTGTGTTTTAGCATCCGCAGGATAACCCTGGAGTACATCCTATAACCAAGCAGGGAAACAAACCGACAAAGCACAAGGAACTCAGCGACACAAAGCGTCAGCTGCTCCATTTTCCAGACCCCGTTTATAAACAATGCGATAACACAATTCCAACAATTTGGTCAATGCCTTTTGTTGCCAAGGAGTAGACAACCTTTGATTCTCCAAGAAAGACAGACTCATATGATACTCCCTACGTTTTAAAATGTTTGACACCGTTGACTTTTTAGTACGTGTTTGACCATTCGTCTTATTCAAAAAATTTAAGTAATTATTTATTCTTTTCATGTTATTTGATTCATTGTTAAATATACTTTTATGTACACATATAGTTTTACATATTTCATAATTTTTTTAATAAAACGAACGGTCAAACATGTGCTAAAAAGTCAACGGTGCCAAACATTTTGAAACGGAGGGAGTATGATCTAATCACAAATTCATCATGCTGGAGATAGGAGCGTCAGTGTTCCACTACCAGAATAATTGCTAAACTTTCCTTCACACATGTAAACAGAGATTGCATTCTAGGCCTCAAAGCTTTACTCAGAAAAGCTAAAGGATGATGATGTTGCATCGAAACAGCGCCAATTCCCTGATCAGAGGCGTCTGTTAACCACAAACGGTTTCTGAAAATTTGGCATTGCCAAAATAGGAACAGAGATCAAAGCGTCTTTCATTGTTGCAAAAGCTTCCTGATGAGTAACAGACCAAACAAACTGTTGGCCCTTTTTGAGCAGAGTTGTCAGAGGTTTACTGATAATACTGAAATGACGCACAAATTTGCGGTAATAACCCGCCAAACCCAAGAAACTTCGAACTTCTTTCACTTAAACATGAGTTGGCCATTCTTTAACAACTTGTATCTTCTCAGGATAAGTTGGAAACCCTTCAGCACTAATAATGTGACCAAGATAAGCCAAGCTAGGCTAAGCAAAAGAACACTTTGACAGTTTCACTTGTAACTGATTCTTCAGTAATATCTTATATAGTATTAGGATATGTCACATTTATCTAAAATATAGTATTAGGATATGTCACATTCATCTAAAATATCTTATATTTTGAGACGGAAGGAGTGCTAAACAATTTGTATGCTGGTCATTGTCTTATTCGTTTCATACTATATATACTTTCGAGGAAAAAAAATTACAGTTCAAACCCCCTAGCTAGAAAACAATTCAGAGCTATGCCCCTAGCCTGCATGTCAGCCACGCTTAAATTCTTTTATCACCCCTCTCGATCTCCTCTTTCTCCCATCTTCCTTTTACTTTCCTCCCCAATAACATCATTTTCTAAACTAGGTTAATTAGATTATGCAATTGCAAATTTGCTTATTCAGAAAAACACCATTACAATTCGTCTATTCCTAGTCATGCCATTAAAATTTTACAAATTTAGAACCGTGCCACTGCCGTCACGTTTTCCATCCAACTCCTCCATTTTTCCATCTTCTTCCTTCTTTCTTCTTTCCATCCTCGCCGCTGCACACGACGGCCGTCTGCGCCCACATCCCCCTCCGCGGAGCCGCCTCCTCCGCACCGAGCACAAATCCCGCACTGCTAGGGTTTGCCGCCCTCCTCCCTCCCAATAGGGTCAATGTAGGGAGGCCTTCCTCGTCGTGCGCCTCTTCGACGATGTTGCCGCCACCGATGACCACGACCCGACGCGCCCCTACGCCGAGCTATGGATGGGAACGTACCCTTCCGCGCCCTCCTCCCTCCTCGCCATTGCCAGTGACGATGGTGGCCTTCTTAATTAGGGACTGGCTGACGTGCAACCCCGCCGCGCTCGGCCCCGCGTGGGCGCAGAGGGACTCAAAGTCCTGGTCGAAGAAGGACTTCTCGGAGAGCATGAGCGAGTTGAGGAACTGGTAGTTGGCGAGTTCGCTCGGGAGCGGGCTCAATACCTGGTTCAGTTGGACGACGAACGGAATCTAGCAGCAGAGCGTGGGCGGGATTGGGTCCCTGAGCGTGTTCCTCGCTTGATGTCGCCGACACCCACCTGTTTCACTGTCGCTCGTCATTTCCGTCTGCTCACCGCTGAGCTTGTCACCGCCTCCAAGGCTGCGCGTGGACCCACCGTAGATCACCACGACACGGCCCTGCCGCCGCCGCCTTCTCCGCCGTTGGTGCCGCCGCCGGGCCATGCGTCACCGTCGGACCTGCCGTCCCCGCGGTCGCACCCTGTCATCGGCGTTGCTGCTCGGCGCTCCGCCATACTTGTCGAGGGGTTGCTGGGATTGGAGGATTTGTGGGGATTTGGGGCTATGGTTGAAAGAGGATTGGTATGGGTATTTTAGTCCATACAGAAATACAGAATACAAAAAAATGATTCAAAACATGTGTCAAGTGTAAAGGATGCTATGTATCCAATTTTAAAAAAAGTTGTAGTGGTAAAGTTATAAATAGATGAGTAGTAATGGTATTTTTTAAAACTAGCAAATTTATGATGGCATGGATCCAATTAACCCTTAAAATTATCAAGTGCATTAGTACAATAGATGCATAATCACGTTACACTAAATATATTTCCAGAATATTACAGCATTAAGAGCTGAGTATCTCATGGATAAAATGAAAATTAAACACACCAGTTGATCTCATTACATTCAATATTAGAATAAAAGGAACATATGGCCATCGTATCATAGTTTTATTTTTTAGCAAGAGGAAACTTCAATTTTTTTACACAATAGATTGAAATATCTGAAGAAATCGAAGTATAACTCTTACTTGCTCAAAACATGAAAACTAAATCAGTTGCTCATGGTCAGGACTTTATTTGCACAAAATTCTGGATCAAACCTAATGTGACGATAAAAAACCATGTTTCCTTCCATTTACTGCTGTGACTGGATTTTTATTACTAAACATGATAGGCCACACTAGACTGAATCCATACTTCCATATGCATTTCCGCCTTTTCATTAATTAATTTACAATTTGGAAATTGGAACTGGGGAGGTGAAGACGACATGGATGAGGTCGCCTGTAGGCCGCTCGTGGAGGGATAGTCACCGCCGAGGACACGCCTCTAAAGGAAATTAAAACCTGAGATTGAGAAAAAAAAGAAACTTGATCAGAGCTATATATTCTATATAGCTGATGCTCATTAGCAATTATTATAAGCTAAAACTCAACATGCGAGTATATCGCATCATCACCCACTAACAATTATTATTCTAAGCATTTTAAATCTCATGCAAAGATAAATAATCATCTAGAATATAATATTATAGAGAAAACATACAAGTATGTTAATCATTTTTCTCATATTATTTTTACAATATTTCAATATTTATTATTTCTATAATGTTTAATGTATATTCATCCGTACGCTATGCAATAAAGCACGGGGTATCACCTAGTTATCCTGAATTTTAACTTCACCTAACACATCAGAGCACTAGCTAGATTTGAGAATATGAAACCCGTGTTTGTTAATGATTCTGAGACATAATCAATAGGTTCATCCGGCAAAGTCAAAGCTTTCAGTGCTTAATTAAGTACTATAGTGATACAATCAAGAATAATGTTACACGCTTCGAATTATTGGTGGAAAAACTTTTCTTTACCCAATAGACCTCAATTAAATATTTCAGTAGTACTCCCTCCATCCCATAATATAAGACGCGTACGTATTTCAAGATTTAACATTTAAAATATTTGACTAACACTTAGTATAATATGAAATGAATTTTATTTGTTAAAAGTTATATTATTAGACTAAGATTTAAATTTACTTTCATATGATTATAATTTTGTTGCTACAAACCTTATAGTATATGAAAAAAATATAAGCTAAAGATTAGTTTTGGAGACCGTGCCAACTTTGACCGCGCCTTATAATATAGGATAGAGGGAGTACTCTTCAAGCAATGCAAGGATAATGATGAGGACATCCCAGCCATATGTAATCCGCGGCCCTTGGTTACACCGGATGCACCAGTTACGCCACAGGTTATACCAAGTCCAACTTGGTTTACATATGAAAAGAAAAGTGTAGGATCAATCACATATAACCAAATTGGTACTGACCAGTTATGCGCAGTCATCATAAGAAACTCCAACAAGAAGTGAATTTCCTCTCTAAATCTTATTAATTTCGATATTGATGAAAATTATATACTGCCCAAGTCGTGTACTCTACTCCTACTCAGGTTTACACATGAGGCTACTCCACTGGGTTACATGGATGATACGGAGGGTTACATGAAGAGCACCAAAACTGTTGTACAAGATGAGAAGAGTTACACGTGCAAGACTTGAGGTTACACTTCAAGAGCCTCAAATTCAAGCGCAAGTATGTACCAATCTACCACGTTCTGGGGTGCATATTATACATATCAAGTTTTATTTTCCAACGCAATAAACGGAGCATCACTTGGACTTACCAGTAAGGACTCAATTACTGAAGATTGCGCAAAAGGCGAGAAGATGCCCGAGAACTGAAAGGACACTTCTTGAATGCTTCATTAGTTGGCCTTTTACCTCTCAACGTGGTCACTTCAGTTCATACCCATATAGTAGGGTTTTTCATAATATAAATATCATATGCATGCTACTGTGCAAAGCATTTGAATCATATGATGAGTTAAAAATATGTATGACTTTGTAGGCGAGCTGCTGAATGCTTGCACACCCTTTGTTCTTCCATTTTCTTTGTGGACTTGTGAAAAGATCCATCAGGGATCCCCTAATTCGTGCTCTTGTTTTCCAGGCCTTTTGTGTGTATTAGTCTCGGATTGTGTTTCTGCGGTCGTTCGGGGATCAAGATAAACTCCTTAAGGTTTCGGTGCCCCTCTCCCCATCATTTGATCACATCCAACCTTGATTAGATATTAAGCTAGTTATCTATTGTTATCAGCAAGTTATCCTTTCTCGGTGAACCTGATGTCATAAAGATCGAGATACCTCTTGCGGTACCTATCAAATATATGTATTTGATATAATTTTTTTTTGTGTTTGTGTATTTCAAAGTCGTGATCGTAGTACTTGTGTTTTCAAAATATATAATTACAACTTGTAGAAGTGATGCCCTATCTAATTAATGGAGAAGGGTTGCCGGTACAAACAATTTTAATTCATAGAGTAAGTAGCTAGTGCGTGTTGGGAACTCCTTAGTGGTTTGTACTCCACTAGCTAGCACAATATCTATCTATTGGCCTAACAACACTGCTAATCAATCTTAGCTGACGGGATTGATATGCATGGTCAATTACTTGTGAAATTGGTGCAAATAGATCATTCCCACGAAATCCGTCGAAATCGACTGCACCGATAAAGATTCCAGGGCTTGCAATGGTGGTTGTGATGCTAACTAGACGAATGAAGTTTAGGTCGGGACTGACTAGCTAGTCCATGCATGGACTTCATTCATTTTTGCACCTATACATGTTCTCTGTAAAGAAGTTAATTACTACAGTTTGTACGTTTTGGCTACACGTTTGTGCAGTGGCGTTACTGTGTTGTTCTTCGCAGGGTCTTTTAGGACCCTAAGTAGATTATCTAATTCTAACTAATTTATATCAGTCAAAAATTAGATAACGTACTTATAGGATCCCGAGTAATTTTTTTTCTGGTTCGCCACTACGTTTGTGAATGAAATTGGCTCACTGCGGGCTTTCGGATAAGTTGGCGCCCACATAATTGAACATGCATGCATGCATGTGTCACTACCAGAGCAACCACATATGTATGTGAAAATCGGTATTTTGTTTCAAATGGGAAGAACAACCGCATGCGAAAATAGGAATTTTGCACGTGGGCGCATGTTATACCACCCTTCTAATAAAAATAGCGAAAAAAATAAAAATTCAAACATAAATAATCTGGAAACCCTAGCTAGCTCCATTCCCAACAAAAAAAATCATCGCCGCCGCTCCTGAAGTCACCGCTGTAGTCCATCGTTGCCTCCCAGCCCCGCCACCCACCAGAAGCCACCGAATCCACCGCCCTGGATCTCCTCGCCGTCAGATCTATCATCATCAGCGGAGGCCAGCGATGACGGTTCACCACTCCTGAGGAAGGTGGTTGTGGAGCCGACGGTCCCTGCAACATCGTTGCCTGAAGCCGCCGGATCCATTGTCGCCGGCGTTGTCTCCACCGTTAGATCCACCGTCCACGAGGTCCGCGGTGGCTTGATACCCCTTCCACCACTGCTGTAGTCGCCATTGCTCTCAAAGCCTGCTGCACCGCCGAACTTTCCATTGTTGTTGTGGCTGCCACTGCTCTTGAGCCCGTTGTCGTCATTCGGAGAGGCAAAAGGCCGGCCAAGAGTGGGAGATCGAGGGAGAGAGGAGTCGGAGTGGGAGAGAGGTGAGGATAAGTATTTAGTGGTGTGCGATGAAAAATATACTATTACTCCTTTCGAACATCGTAGGCGGGCCTCTTAAGAAACCCGCCTACGAAATTACGCTTGTTTTTGCAAACGGGCCTTTATTGGTACCTCTAAACCTTTTTTTTTTAGGCAGATAGTCTTTTAGTACATCCGCCTGCAAAATTAAATAGGGTGTTTGAAAAAAATAATGTTTGTAGTAATGACCATGTATGCATCAAGGAGAATGTCACATGCTTGGAATTATCGGTGGAAAAACTTGTGTTTACGAAATAGACCTCGATTAAATCTGACAATGTAGTATAATTCAGTAGTAGTAGTCTTCAAGCAATGCAAGGAGGATATGTTTTTTGTTTGGGGTTTGTGTAGTTCAAAATGATGATCGATCGTACTACTTGTATATATCGTCTTGAAAATAATTACAACTTGGATAAGTGAGATGACACACTATGGGTGGTACCAGTGGCATATGTGTCAAAGGTACCAGTACTGGCATATGTGAAAGAGGCGAGAGGCATTAATTAGTAACGTAAGCTAGTGCGAGACCCTCTGCTATCTTCAGTTCTTCACACATGCTGCAGATGGCAATATGAACCTAACCACCTGTGCTAGCTAAACTGCTAACGGATGAGGGGTCCCGGGATTATTTACGTTGGGAACTCCTTATAGTCCCTACTCCACAAACACTAGCTAGCACATTAATTAATTAATTAATTAATTAATTAATCTATGTATAGTAATGGCCTGCTGATCACTCTGCTAATCATATCTTAGCTAGTGGACGGGATTGATAATGATCGATATACGTATATGATATGCATGGTCAATTACTACTTGTCGAAATTAATTAAGGTGCAAATCAAATAGATCGAATTTCAGTTGTGATGGAATATGGATATATATATGCAAACTAGACGAAGTTTGTTATTAGATGGAGACAATTAAGCTAATAATAAGCTAGTCCGATCCATACATGGACTTAATTTTTGCACGCGCGTGCGTCATGCATCGTAGTTCTATGTAAACAAGTTACTAGTAGTTTGTACGTTTTGGCTAGCTACTACGTATGTTTGCATTGTGAACATGCATGTACTGTACCCAGTATATATACCTGTACGTGCGCTCGATCCCATGGCCTATAAAAGGGCCATGCGTATATCTGAGATGGAAAAGAAGCAAGCACTGCAGCGAGCCGAAGAAGCTTAGCTTTAAGCAGCAGCTAGCAATGGCAGCAGCAAGGGCGTGCTTGGTGGTGGCGCTCCTCCTCCTGGTGGCTCTCTTCTCGCCATCGGAAGCTACTTCGTCTACTTCTTTGCGGCGGCGGCAGGTGCGGAGCCTCCTCAAGCGCCTCAACAAGCCTCCCCTCGCAACCTTTCAGGTACGTACCTTTGGCATTTCACATCTAGTTGCATGCAAACTAGCTAATTATATACTACGACTTATTACATATATGATCATAAATTAACTGGCATGCAGAGCCTAGATGGAGATATCATAGATTGTGTGCACATCTCCAATCAACCTGCATTCGACCATCCTCTTCTCAAGGACCATACAATCCAGGTGAATTAACTTCATATATAATTCCACTCTACACCATCAATATAATGCATGCATGATATCTTCACGTACGAATAATATAATGTATGCATGATATCTTTATGAACGAATAATGTATATGTGTGGCGGTTTCAGATGCGACCTTCTATCCAGCCAAGTGGCCTATATGGAGAAGCAACACGTCCATTCACCCAAACATGGAATCAGAATGGCGAAAAGTGCCCTGACAATACTATACCGATCCGAAGGACCAAGGAGGAGGATGTCATGAGGGCCACCTCTGTTACAACGTTTGGCAAGAAGACGCACGGCGGGAGCCCTCACCCTCACTCTCACTTGGGTGGTGTCACGGACGGCCACCACGTATAGTACCACCCTCAGATCATATTACAATTAACTTGTCTTCCTCGATTTTGGATTATTATTATTATTATTATTATTATTATTATTATTATTATTATTATTATTATTATTATTATTATTATTATTATTATTGTAGTTTTCAAAATAAAATTTCTTATTTAATATTCCATTGAGCAGTATGGTGTAGCATATGCGACTGGGGATTCCAACTACTACGGAACCAAAGTGACCATCAATGTGTGGCAACCAACGATTGCAACATTCGGTGATTTCAGCTTGTCCCAGCTATGGATCACAGCGGGCTCCTATGAAAACAAGGACCTTAATACCATTGAAGCAGGATGGCAGGTACATGACACCTAAAGAGCAAGATCAATACAAGAGCTAGTTACCTTCAAAATATTTCCATGTCATCAAGAGCTAACATAGAGCCAACTAGTACAATAGTTACACATAAACATACACACATCATTAATATACGACCAACCTCTTATACACATTAATGTCTAACTTGAAGTTTGTGGTACAACTGATTGTAACTTTGTAGCTCGCTTTTGTTCTTTCTCGCCTCTCATCTCTCCTTCACACAAGTATAAATATGATGTGGTAATTTTTAAAGCCTGCTTATGTCACTTATATATTGTGCTTGCTCTAAGTAGTTCTATTAAATCCTATCTGCATGTCTTACAGTTTTCATGCATGGTACATATACTAGACTAGGTTCTCAATCCATTCATGCAAGCTCTTGTCTTTGTGCTTGCCCTGACATCCATGTTATCTACAGATAGCATCGAAGATAATTTTCTACAGATTTCATGTTCAATTTTTATATATATAAGGATGCCACAATTAATATAACTACATAATCTTGATAAGTGACCAGTCTTATGGATATCTATCTACTAATAACATCATAGTTTGTTGTACAAGTCCTAAGCATTAATTTTGCAATGATTGTGCATTCTCTTACGATGATGTCTCTGAGCTATCTATATTAATGTTTCAGGTGTACCCAGCTATGTACGGGGATGATAAAACTAGACTCTTCATCTATTGGACTGTAAGATATACGAACATAACACATATATGTATATTCCTTTACTATTAGTAACAATTAATATTTCGTCCCTGTTCTATTACGGTGGGGAATTAATTGATAGCACAAAGGTACTAATGGAATATATATTGTAGCGTGATGCATATAACACAACGGGATGTTACAATCTAGCGTGCTCAGGGTTCATCCAGACAAACCCGCAGTTCGTCATCGGTGGCAGCTTATCCCCTGTCTCCATCTATGGCAGCACACAATATGAGTATGATTATTTAGTTTGGAAGGTAAACAGTAAACAAAAATTAAACTCTTTATCATTCAAAGCATATATACAAAATCAAATTCTTCAAGAATAGGCATGGAGAATCTGTGCCATCTAGCCACTCATCTTGTCCTTCCTCTAGTAAATGATGAATGAATGAATACAATTTGCAGGACCCAGCGGGGGGCAACTGGTGGTTGCAACTGCAAGGCAATTATGTGGGCTACTGGCCATCATCCATCTTTACCCTCCTGCAGACAGGCGTTGCCGATACTGTGGAATGGGGTGGGGAGGTGTATTCTCCTCAAATTACCGCACCCATGGGCAGTGGACATTTCCCTGAGGAAGGGTTTGGCAAGGCCACCTACAGTAGAGCAATCCAAGTTGTTGATTCCTCCAACCATCTCAAACCACCAAATGGTGTGGGCTTGATAGCCTCGCTGCCCAATTGCTATAATATCATGACTGGTTCCTCCAGTACCACTAGTTGGGGCACTTACATTTACTATGGTGGACCTGGGTGCCCTCAAAACTCCCAAATTGAAGTGATGTAGAGAGAGATCGAGCTCACGATCAAACTACGTACATCACATTAATAATTTACATGTAGTACTACACGATCAACATCGCTCGCTCGCCCAATAATATAGTATTGTTGGATAGGGTCTATACTAGCTAATATTACATGCCGCATGTCAAGCTCTGATTGCTAGTACGTATGTATATGTATACATTTGCATGTATTGGTAAGAGGTTTGAACCAAGCTAGCATTACAAGCTGGCAATAAATGTATTGTCACAGTTTACTGGAAGTTATGTTATGGAATATACTTATTTAATCATTAGTTATTACAAGCACTACAGATCGAGGGGCCTTAAAGAAAGTGATCGATAACCCTATACATTTCCTCATAAGCCCAGCAGAAGCAATTTGTCTGATGATCTAACCCCTTTTCACACAATACTGGAGAAAGGACATTCCATCCAGCAAATAGATATATACTGGGCACCGGACCCGTTCGCTTGAGACCAGTGATGATAAGATAAAATTGTACAGTTTAATTCGTGCAATAACAAAATGGTTGGAAACACAATTAATTTCACAAATGGGATCAAAGCAACAAGCTCACCCCAACCATGCTAGTGGTATAAAATTCATAGCAAAACTGTGCAAGCATGCATCAACTCATGAAGATACGTACCATGTGAGTTGCACTCAAAACTGTTAAACAGCAGATAGAATTATGACGCAACATGCGGTGTGTCAATATAGTGAACTTGGTAGCAGATAGCATATCAGAATTACCTGTACAAATGAATACATCCCTGCTCAAAAGCACTGGATACACACAATGATTTTTTTTGACACATGATCAACTCTGCTGCAAAGGCCAAAGGGAGATAATATATACTGTACAGTTTTATCACTGTCAGGTGGAGAGATCAACAAGCCATGGTAAAAAATGAACAATGGGGAGTTCGAGATGGATCTCCCCTGCGTATACTTAGAATACAGCCCGTGTTTGCAAGTTCAGCTTCTTCGTGCATGAAATCACTCCACCATAGCCACTAGGTAAATATCAGTGACAATTGCTCATTTGACCCTGTTATGGAGGCTAACTACTAATCTGACCCTATGTTTTCAACTTTGCTCATTTGACCCTACTTTTCAAAATTGGAACTATCGTCTAAGCCTATTTTCACTACACTGGTAGGGTTTATTTAGGAAACAAAAAACTCATTTTATAAATTGAACTGACTAAAATACCCCCAAGTACCAAATCAATCAACCCAAATTTATCACCCCGTGGTCCACTCATCCCCGGCCTTCTTGTCGGTGAGGCGGCGGGTGGCGGTGAGTGATGGGAGGTGCAACGGCGACAAGTGGAGAAGGCTTTGGTGGCGACGGAGCGCGGGAGCTGGAATGGTGGCACGTGGGTGCTGCAGCGGCCACATGCGTGAGAGGCAGAGGCATGCGGGAAAAAAATTTGATGTGAGATTACAAACTGATTATTTTAATCGTAAAAATCTAAGCAAATCATTGATCTGTCCTGTTGGGATTGTGTGGCACAATGGAACAATGGTTCTATTTTTCTCCCTATTTTGTTAACCGATGCAAGACCAGGTACAATAAGTCCATATTAATAGATAATAGTGGTCTCCACGTCAGATTAGTGCTTATTAGGTGGAAGGGAGAGAACACAAGGTGAGGGAAAAGCTGGCGACTAATTTATCGCCGGGCGGTATACTCGTCACAATGCAAGGTGCGCGCGCTGTGGGCCCAACCTTCGTCCTCCTTGCCTCAGTCCAAGAAAAATAGCACCCATGGAGATGCATGATTTGTGCTTGCTGATAGGATGAGGGGCTCTTGACGCTTGGGCACGCGACCTACGTGGCAACGGGCCGGAGAGAAGGTCAGGATATATGCTAGATCTGTCCATGGCCATAGAGGACTAGGAGAGACCAAGAGAGGATATAGTTTGGGTTGAGCAGTTGAGTTTAAGGTGTTATGATCTTGGTGCCATAGATTCCATCCACTAAACAGTTGTGCGCCAGACGAGCAAGCTCAACGCCGGTCGCCGGAGGACTAGCTCGGCTCCAGCCAAGTCCAGCGACCTTTTCATTCTACCCCTGAGCTACATCACGAGCATCTGATATTCTATTTTTTTTCCATCTTTCTCTACAAAAATCAGATAGCTCGAGTGGAGTAGTAGCTAGTATATATGTACCATACGTATATATTACTACCTCTGTTTCAGGTTATAAGACTTTCTAGCATTGCCCACATTCATATATATGTTAATGAATTCATTAACATATATATGAATGCGGGCAATGCTAGAAAGTCTTATAATATGAAACGGAGGAAGTACTCTCTACTGCTTTCTTCCTTTCAGCTTGCATGGTCACTGGGCTGATGTATAGTGGAAAATGGATGTAGCTCATATATTTGTTCATCTTGGTAGCCATGGATGAGCTCAGATGCTAGCTCGGGGACGACATGCGATAACAGGGGAAATGGAGAGAGAGGATAAAAGGGAAATCTTTTGTAACTCTCAGTTGCTCAAACATGAAAACTACTAAATATTTGTCCAGACCACCTCCTCAAGGTCAGTACTTTAATTGCACAAATTGTGAATCAAACCTATTGTGACGGTAAAAAAACCATGTTTCCTTCCATTAACTGCTGTGACAGGATTTTTATTACTAATTAAACTTGATAGGGCACACAAGATTGAATCCACACTTCCATGTCTACCTTTTTCATTTACAATTTTGAAAATGGAATTGGGGAGGTGAAGACGAAGTGGATGAGGACGTCGGTAGGCCAATTGTGGAGGATAGTCGCTGCCTAGGACAGGAAGAGGATTTTGATCCCTCGAGGGGATATCTCCTTGTTGTTTGCATACCACTCAAATGGTTACAAAAAAATTCAACTTCTACATCTCGCAACGAAAAAAACTAATTTGACTCTGAATATATGTTAACTAGCTGCGGTTTAATTTGTTTTTTTTCGTTACGAGATGTACAAGTTGAATTTGAACTTGCATGTTTGCGGAGTGTTATATCACATGTTAATACACCATTTCAATTTTTTTCAAATTTTTTCATAACCATTTGAGTGGCATGCAAAGAACGAGGGGATATCCCTCGAGGGATTAAAATAGTTTCCCGCCTAGGACACGCCTCTAACTCCACCTAACACATCAGAGGGCTAGCTATCTGGATTTGAGAATATGAAACCCCTGTTTGTTAAAGATTCTGGTCATTGTCAATAGATTCATTTGCTAAGGTCAAAGCTTTTACTGCTTAATTAAGTACTAATAGTGATACCATCAAGAAGAATGTCACACGCTTCAAATTATTTGTGAAACAACTTTTCTTTACCCAATAGACCTCAACTAAATTGACAATATAGTATATTTCAGTAGTACTCTTCAAGAAATGCAAGCATATTGATGAGGACATCCCAGCCATATGTAATCCACGGTCCTTGGTTACACCGGATGCATCAGTTACCGCCACATATTACAAGAAGTCGAACATCGTTTACACATTAAAAAACAAGTGCAGGACCAGCCACAAGTAACCAAGCTGATAAGCGCACATGCTTATGAAGTACTGGTTATGCGCAGTCGTGCTAAGAAACTCCAACAAGAGGTGAATGCTTTCCTCTCTAGGTCAAATTTCAAATATTGATGAGAATTATATACTACCTAAGTCGTGTACTCTACTCTTACTCAGGTTTACATATGAGGCTACTCCATTGGGTCAGATGGAGGACATGGAGGGTTACACGAAGAACACCAAAACTATTGTTCAAGATGAGGAGAGTTACACACGCAAGACTCGGGGTTACACTTTAAGAGCCTCAAATTCAAGCGCAAGTCTGTACCAATCTATCATGTTCCAGGGTGCAAACGGAGAAGCTTAATTATCAAGCGCAAGCCTCAAATATACATGGTTGGAAAGCTTATCAAGTCTACTTTTCAAAGCAACAAACGGAGCATCATTTGGAATTCCCAAAAAGGAGTTATGACCCAATTACTGAAGACGCGCATAAGGCGAGAAGACGTGCGAGAACCGAAGGACACTTCTTGAATGCTTCACCAGTTGGCCTTTTACCTCCAAACGTGGTGACTTCAGTTCATACCTATCTAGAAGGGTTGTTCTTAATATAAGTATCATCTATATATGCTACTGTATAAAGCATTTAAATCATATGATGAATTAAAAATCTATATGGTTTTATAGCCGAGTTGTTCAGTGCCTTAGAAATTAACCCTTGTTCTTCCTTGTTCTTCGTGAACTTGTGAAGAGATCCTTCTAGGATCCTCTAATTCGTGCTCTTGGCTTTCCGGTCTTTTCTGTGCATTAGTTCTGCATTGTGTTTCTGCGGTCGTTCAGACATTGAGATGAACTCTTCAAGGTCCGGTGCCTTTCTCCCCATCGTTGGGTCATATTGAACCTTGGTCAGGTATAAAGCTACTTCCTCCGTTTCACAATGTAAGTCTTTCTAGCATTTCTTCATATTGATGTTAATGAATCAAGATAGATATATATGTCTAGATTCATTAACATCAATATGACTATGGGAAATGGTAGAATGACTTACATTCTGAAACGGAGGGAGTAGCTATCTATTGTTCTGTTGAAATTATAAGCACATAATGATTTAATTTATTCCATAAATAAATCATGACATTGCAGATGTAAACTAGCATGAACGCATCATTAGATCTACACATGTAAACTAAGTAGTAAAACATGAACAGATCAAATATGCGCAACATGTCGAACACGTACCGAGGTGGCGGAAAGACCGGTTGCTCGGCAGGAACTACTTGCGGTTGCGGGCGTCGACGAAGGCGCGCAGCACGCGAGCGGAGAGGAAGACGAGCCGTCGCGGACGAACAGGGAGCAGTCGCGCGAAGCGCTTCCCAAAAACCTTATTGCCGCCTTCTCCCTATTCAGGACATCGAAGGCAGAGGTTTCGGAGACCTGCTCTCCCGATCGCCGGTGCACGCCGGCAAGCGGGATGGAGTAGTCTACGAGCGACGGCGCAGTACAGAGTAGGAGGCAAACCCTAGATTGATTTCGCGTGTGTTGCGTGAAGACGGCGGCTCGGTTTATATAGAGATAGGTCGCTTGATCAGGGCGCCCGCACGATCTCCACTCCGCGTAACCGAACCGGATAAGTCGCGCGTAACTTATCCGGACTCCATGCCGTTTTCACGCACTGGATTTTTCGGAATGTTTCCAAAACAAAACAAATCCGAATTTCCCGCAGCAAAACAAAACTGCAAAATGAGGCTACATCTGCGCAAGGGTGAAGAGCCAATTTTGCGGTACAT